TCTTGTAATTATATAATAAGCAAAGTTTATAAAGTGAATATTTATCTCTATGAAATTTGGTAAATCGGCATTTTAGTATAAAATTTAAATTTTAGTCTCAACTCCAATGTTTTAAAAAGTTTTTTAAAAAGTTCTAAAAAACTGTTTAAACTGTTTTTTTTCATCCCTAATAATCACTGATTATAAATTTATCATATCAGCAAAAAAAAAATGCCAAAAAAATATAAACGTAAACATAAATTAAGATAGACACACAAGCATAAAAGTAATGTTTTTTTATAGAATTAAGTCATTTTAAACGATTCAAATTCTTTTCTAAATAATTTGCGTCTATGTCATATTACGTATTATATTGAATCAGCAATATCACATATCATATCTAAGATATATAAAAATGGCGGGAGTAAAAGATATCAAATTAAGCCTTGTCAATAAAATAAAGCGTTAGTATTATGGCTTCGATGAAATAGTATTTCAGAAAAATGGATTTCTGCTATAGCCTATTTTGCTGATAGACATTTTCTCGATTTTTACAATACTGTAAATTCAGTAACAGTGAAAAAGGCCTTAGTAATATAGCTTTCGAAGAAATAGCATGTCTAAAAATATACAATCAGAAAAATGGTTATTCGGTGAAATAGGTTATTATGCAAATAGATTCGGGATATATAGATTAATGGTTAAATTACATATTGGGAAATTGCTTTCAATTAAATGGTTTATCAGAAAAGTGAGATATCAGAATTATGTCATTTCGGTGAAATGGACTGTCAGTATAATGTTCGATGAAATGGTATTTTGCAAAAAAGGATTTTGAAAAGTTGAACAGAATCATATACAGTAGTACATGTATAATATATAAACTATCTATATGCAAAATTTCGCAAGGAGTAATTTTACTTAGAATACAAAAGGTGTTTCATAAGGAAACTTTTGAAATATGAATGGTTTTATAATTTGTTCTAGAATATTCCAAAATATTTTTGCAAACTGTACAATACTCGGCACATCAGCATACAATAGTGTAATTGATGTATATTTGAACTAGCGATATTGTAACATTAGCCAATAGTCTTCCACCCGCACAAAGCAGGCCAGCTGATAATCAGAAGTTTTGCAGTCAAGCTAGCAATGCATGGCCCTAGCCAGTGGTCTCCTACTTGCATAATGCAGGCTAGCTGTAAACATGAAAGTTTTGAAAAAATGGCAGGTTTCCATGGGGCGGGTGGGCTAGGTGTGGATATAGCATGCTTTTCCAGAGCTGCTGTTGGGCTGCCTTGCTACTGTTTACCTTATAACTGCAAATAATATCTTTAATTTCTTTGAACTAATTTTTTTGAACTAATTTTTTTGAATTAATTTTTAATAGATCTTTTTTTTTTTAAAAAAAAAAAAACAATCACAATTTAACTTCTATTATTAAAACTATTTTATTAAAATTGGTGGTTCATATTATAGTAATATTTAGATTGCTCCATATAAAAAATTTTTAATTGCGTAATAATAATTATAATGCCATCTATCGCTATATACATACAGTATATTAAAAAAATTAGTCCTAGCTAAGTATATAACAAAAAAATAAATAGGGAAATTATAAATAAAGGCCCAAAAATAAAAAAAGGGGCCCAAAACCAAAATGATTACATGTAGAGACCCAAAATTTAAAAATTATTACAAATAAGAACCTATCCGATCTCTGAGCCGCAAAAAAATCATTTTTGATACACCTGTACCTACCTTTTTTATGCTGTTCGACATACAGATTCCGGTAAAAACAAAATTTTTAAAAACTTTGAGCAATTATATCTCGACAACTACCTGCTTAAATCTGATAAAACCTTTTAGATTTGAATTCTATGGATTCATAGAATTCAAAAAAAAAAAAAATTCATCGAATTTAGCCATGTGGTTGTCGAGATATCATCGTTCAAATTAGAGACAAATCAAAACGTCTATCTGCGCCAAATTTCTCTCTAACTTTGAGCGAAGTTATCTCGATAACTATCTGACCAAACTTGATAAAACTTTTATATTTGAATCCTATGGATTCGTAGAATTCAAATAAAAATTTTTTATCGAATTTAGTCAAGTGGTTATCGAGGTATTTTCGCTCAAAATTAAAGAAAAATAAAACGCCTATCAAAATAGAAGCTATGCGAAGTTTCTTTCTAACTTTGAGCGAAGATATCATGATAACTATCTAACCAAATTCAATAAAACTTTTTTATGTATTCATAGAATTCAAATAAAAAATTTTATCATTTAATCAAGTTTTTGTCGAGATATCTTCGCTCAGAAAAAATCAAAATTCGTTTCAAATAAATCTATCCAAATTTCTTTCTAACTTTGAGCGAAGATATCTCGACACCCACTTGACTAAATGCAATGAAATTTTTTTATTTAAATTATATGAATGCATAGAATTGAAAGAAAAAAAGTTTTATCAAATTTGGACGCCTTTATCGATATCTTTGCTCAAAGTTAGAGTGAAAATTTCTATTTTGATAGGCGTTTTATTTTTTCTCTAATTTTGAGCGAAGATACCTCGACAGCCACTTGTCTAAATTCGATGAAAATTTTTTTATTTGAATTTTATGAATCTATAGGATTCAAATAAAAAAAAGTTTTATCGAATTTGGTCAGATAGTTATGCAGATAGACGTTTTGATTTGTCTCTAATTTTGAGCGAAGGTATGTCGACAACCACATGGCTAAATTAGATGAATTTTTTTTTTTATTTGAATTTTATGAATCCATAGAATTCAAATCTAAAATGTTTTATCAGATTCAAGCCGGTAGTTGTCGAGATATCTTTGCTCAGAGTTTTTAAAATTTTTATTTTTACCGGGATCTGCATGTTGATCAGCATCAAAAAGGTAGGTACGTTGTTATGCTCAAATTTCTATTTTTAGTTAGTATCATATTATTCTTCATTATTTTTATGTACTTCTTATTTTGGTATAGTTTGTGGCATAGCGGGGATTGAAACCCTCAGCGAGGGATAACAACCCTCAACGAGGGATGACAACCCTCAGCGAGGGATCAAAACCCCACACGAATTAAAGATATATAAGGATGTGGTTTCAGTCTGCAAACGGCAGTTAGAACAATAATTAATGAGTTAATAGTATTTTGAGTATTATTGTAATATTCCGATGTATTTATCTATATTAATAAAGAGAAACCTTAACCCATAATTATGTGTTAGTTTTAAACCATTTAACCTTAAGCACTATTTGTTCACGATCGAAGCTAAATTGGTCCAAGACCCTATAAGCTCTCCCACCGATCGTAACAACGTACAGGGGTTGTCGCTCAATTCCCCGAAAGACATTCCTCGACAGGTCACTTACCCGACATCACATAGGGTTAGGGTTAGCATTCTATTAGTTGCAGGTATTTATTTTTAGCAATTTGTCACCTTATGTGATGCCGAGTCGGGGAAATAACTTTCGGGGAATCGTTCCGTAATCCGTACAGGTGTATCAAAAATGAAAGCTTTGCCTCAGAGACCGGATAGGCCCTTATTTTTAATTTTTGGATCCTTATTAGTAATATTTTTATTTTTGGGCCCTTGTTTATAATTTCCCCAAAATAAATTGTCTCTAGGGGTTCTTTTTCGAACCCACCGGGAACGGTACGTTATTATAAAGTGCTAACAAGACTTGGGTATTTAAGTTCACAACTTATGTTTGGATTAACTTTAAAAAACTCGACCACAAAATAAAAGACGTGATTTTTTTTTGAACTTGTGCGTCACTTGTTGATGACATAATTTATATCGATATTAGTAAGTTACAGCGATCTGTACCAATCAAATTCAAGTGCAACTCAATAACAGATGTTCTTTGAATAAAAATTCCTACCGTGTACTTCTATTTTTTTTTAAATTTTTACAAAATGCATTGTATGTAAACAGAGTGTGTACAGATATTGCAACTGTAACTTTGAAAGTTAATAAAGTTTATAAATTTAGCTTTTAAAAGTAAATACCTTTCAATAGTTAGATTAGGGAGGCTTTACAATTATTCTATTACATGGTAAAATGTAGTTTTTGTTTAAAGAAGTTTTAAAACTGTATTATACTGTACATCACATATTATTAGCTATACATATATATTTATTTGGATACATTATTCAAACTTTTAAACCAGATATTTCCTCATTATTTATTATATTTACTTATGAACTTCGAAGAGTCCATTATTTTTGATCATAAAAATATTAGCATAAGAATATTTTTTGAATTCGGATAACAATAATATTGGAGAAGAGGAATGTACTTTTTTAAACAACGAATCGGGTAGATGTAACTTTTAGTCATCTATCTTTGAAAGATGGCGTTTTCATTTTATTAAAATTTATTGTAATTTTGATTTTGTTGGATAAATATTTTACATTAATATTTAGTGATTGCGCAAATTACCTTGGCAGAGTAAATGCACCATCTATCTGGTACACATTTAAGAGATGTAGCAGCTTTAATGAATAACGCATCTTATGTATAAAAAAAAAAAAGGCCAATTTCTCTTTAAGTACCTCATGATTTTTCTTTTTTAATAATAATAACAATATAAATCGTTACTTATGGCTTGAAATGTATGTTAATCGAGGAAATTCTACAAGCAGCTATTCTGAAATTCAAAATCAAGAATTAATTCAAAGAATTATAAAAAAGTGTATATTCGAACTTCATTAATTCTGTAAAATTATTTACTTTAGTTAAAACAGACGAATATTAAAAAAAAGACTAACACAATCTTTGAAACAAAATTTTGAGTAAACAGCGATTGCCTTACAGAGTAAGTTTTTATTTGTTTACTAAAGAAGTTTTATATAATACTGCATTGATGATAATCTATTGTAATAAAATAGTTTATTAATACTTAAGACTGGAATTTATTTCTTTGAGTTAAACTATTTATTAAATATAAAATTAAATATGAAGCTTTACAAACAAAATTTGAATTTAACAGTCCTATATGTATAATGATATTTTATACGTTGTTTACAGGATTCTTCCTTCTTGATCTTCTAGGTGCTAGTTTTGATTTTAATGTTTTTGGCAATTCAAAAATAAAATAAACCAAGCTACCAAAAAATCTAAATACAGCTAATCCGGCAACAGACCAAAGAATAAATGTTACATAAGCATTAATTCTTATGCCTTGAGGCACATATCGTATTAAAAGTTGGTTATCACTAATGACAATAGTTACTAATATCGTATTTGATAAGACCCATAAAAGTACAAGATAAATTCGAAATCTTTTTCTATATTCATCTTCAGATATACCCATATTTTTAGGTTTATTTTCTTTAGGACGTTTTAAAGTGCTCCAGGCTCGATCATATCCATCAGCAACATCTATTGAAGTGACTTGTACTTCATTCTTATGAGAAGTTACTTTATTCAATTTATTATCTTCATCTTCTTCTCTGGTTCCCCAACTATAAATAATATTTTTTAATTAACGTAAATACATGTATATTGAATGCGATAATAATTTAAGCAGATAAAGTACATTACCTTACATCATGGACATTACAGAAAGCGTAAATATTTAGAATAATTACATAAAATGGTACCAATAGAATATACTGGATTATACAAGTAACCATATGCCATGGATCAAGCATTAGTAAACTTGCGAAAAGGTACAACCCGTATGTAGAAATTAAGGCGAGAATAGTGCTCCTGAAAGTATTCTCCGTAAGAACATCCATAATGCCTGAGTAATTTTCTATGCTGTATATAATAAGCCAAAACCCAGCGAATAATGTATAAATCATAACCAAACAAAAGAATATCAATGAAATAATATAGGCATATTTGGAACTATTTACAGTATTTAAAAAAAGGTTAAATTAGAATGCAAAATGTAAATAAACAATAATAGTACCATATATTCACCTTTTAGGTTTATTTCCCATGCCACAAATGAACTGTATAAATATCAACGCAAAAAAAACCCATCTAATCCCAATGAATATATTTTCATTGATTGTTTGGTTCAAAGGAAGTTGAAACATCCCTAGAGGGTCATAAAGAGTAGTTCCTAATATATGAAACGTTAAATAGAAATTTCCCTGCAATAAAAGACGCAATATAAAATATATAAAGTATATAAATAAGAAGAATGAAGCTTTTAATTAGTAAAGCTAAAATAATAAATCAATTATATTTACCAATGCAAACCATGAGAAGAAAAGGTTGTATGCTTGGTATATCATTTCAATAAATAAAAAGAATTTGCGTCCAATACAATGATCACTTCTCAAAATATAATAAAAATGTGAAACAGCATAAAGACTAGCAAAGAAAGAACCATTTAACCAACGTCTACGCTGGGAAATTAGTTTATCTATACTTTTAGGTATGTCCGTATCAGCTTGAGAAGATTTAACATAATGTAACAACCACTGTCCTTTACGTTTTGTAACCAATTCAAAACAAAGAATACGATCTTCAGCAAGATACATATTGGCAGTGAAGATGTTACTATTAGATTTTTTATTATGGGTAATTTTGTTATTCTTTTTTTCATAATTAGAATCATCCTTTTTTTCATCATAAGAATCATTCTTTTTTTCATCATAAGAATCCTTTTTTTCACCTTCAGTATCATTTTCATCTTTTTCTTCACCCATAAAATAAGAAGCAAGAGGACCCTCAAGTTCACCATTAACTATAGTATTCTGAAGAGCGATATACCGATAAGCAGAAAAGGCACCAGGTAAGACGGTAATATACCCAAATACAGATTCAAGTGGTTTATCTAGAATATTTGACATTTTATATTCAAAATATTGAGCTCCCACAATCGGATTTAGTAATTTGTACCAAGTCGTCATGGCAACGATTTCACCACAAGCACCAGCAACATAAGGATGTGAATTAAATGTTTCCCATAAATTATAGATGGAGTTAACACCTTTAAAAAAGTTTAAATTAACAAAATTAAATAAAGAAATAAATGATGATTAGAATTTAATAATTATTTTTATTTAAAAGGTCATAAAAAATAAATGTAATTTTTTTATATAAAAGCCACTGATCATAATTCATATAATATTCGCTAACCTGGTCTAGTGCCAACATCAATAAGAATGCATATTTTAGGTTCGATAACTGGACCAAAAGCATTAAAAAACCACCGATGAGAATTGATTTTTTTGGCATTATTTTCTTTATGACAAAAAAGTACTTGAATTGGAACATCTAGCGTCTCAGTTTTCATATCTTGATCAATTGAAATTTGGGTTGTAAACTCGAATATATGAGCTTTAATTTTGTCTTTATTTATACTTTCGATTGCAACACCATCTTGATAGACACCAAGTGCTGTTAAATAAGCCAAACAACTTTTATGAAATTTTTTACGGCCATCAGATACTATACACACGACAACCTTTTTCCAACTATCTTCATTCTATAAAATTCGAATAAAGAAACAATTGTTCTAATTTAATTAAATAACAAATTAAATCAATTACAAGAAAAAAAAATTATTATTATACCCAAATTCTGCCTGTTCGTTTACAAAGAGATGTAATATTTTCCACAATTCCGTGAAAAGTTCGAGACAATTCAGTTACATCTTCCTATTAAGTATATATAAGATTATCAATGGTAATAAGATGAACATTGAGAGTTTATAGATGAGACTTTATTCTTACATTATACATAGTAACCACGATGAATAATTCAATCTGCCTTCTAAGTTCTTTTTGACGAAGTGTGAATCCTTCACTCGAAAAATCGTCCGGATCACATGTACAAGCAGTATATCTCGTGTGTGTGAATTCTCTATCATCTCTATATTTGCAATAATTTAGTAGATTAGAAGGTATTTGACAATCTCTTATAAACTTTCCGTCAATTAATGTAATTTTTTCTGGTACTATATTATCATCATTATGATGATTGTGTGAATATTGTCCATTGTAATTCGAGGGACTCCCTCCTCCCGACATATATCCATTTTGTTCGTTCTCCATTAATGTTAAAAGTTATAAAGATAGGTTTGATACAATTTTTTTTTTTAAAAAACAAAAGGGTTTATTAAAAACACAACGATATTTATTAAAATTGATCGGAGTTTATGTTATCATCCTCCGGTTCATCCTGCTGCAAAGTCATGGCTTTAGGACTAAATAACAAGTTTTTCATTTAGGTCGGAATTGGAGAAAAAAAAAAATAGAAATATTTACTTTGTTTCAATAATTAAAAATTTTTCGCGTTGTTAATTATTCCATTAAAATCGTATATACTTATTGCACATTTATTTATTAGGTACAGTATTGTAAATTCTACCTAATAGCGTATCAATCTGTAAATGAACCTCTTTAAAAAGTAATAACATTAACGATCTATAAATAGATGCTGAAAATCTTGAAAATCATGAATCAAAAACAATCATAATATTTTATGCATAAAACGAAGATTTTTGTAGGACAAGATGAAATAGTTGTCTACGTAATATTAAACAACGTGGCAATTGACTTGTAATAAAATAAATTTTATAGAAAAGCAAAAGTGTGCGTAACTGAATAGCAAAGTATTTAGTGAACAAATTATTTCTCTTATGCTCAAGTGTTAGCTTTGAACTATCCTATTAAGCACAAACTGTGCAAACCTAATGATCCCTCAGAATAACTGCTGTAATTCGGAAACATTGTTTAACTTGTGTGACATATTCATAGATTCTTTTTTACCATAATTAGGTTCATTTACCAGTCTGTCATTTAGTCGACATCGCACAAAGTGATAAACTATCTAATCTACTCCATAATTAGACCTCATTATGTAATCTACCGGAATATTCGATTCTCATTTATGGTTACTGTTTTTTTTATTTCCAAAAAAGTATATTTCCTTCTTTATAACTTTTTTAGTATACAATATTGTTATTCGAATTAAAATTTTTGATAGTTCAGAACAATAGTAACTCACCAAAGTTTTTAATTAAATACGCGTAGTAATGAGGAAATATTGACTTAAATAAAAGAAGCTTTTCCTATAGTCTAGTCTATGTATACTGTATCTTAATACGAAAAAATAATAAAGCAACACTCTTCCTAATCTAACCATCAAAAGTGGTCACTATTAAGATTTAATAAGCTTTGATGGCTATACAGTACATGCGATACTTTCGAAATTACTGTAATTTCTACAGTACATATTCTACATACATACATTTCTGTTATATATACAATTCGGGACAACCTACGAAGCACAGGACGGTTGATGAAGCACGAAGCGAAAATTTTCATTCAAAAAGAGATTCTACGAATAAATGTACGTTCATAACTACTGTCTATAAGTGATAAAAGAGATATAATATCAAATATTAATCGCGCTTGAATTTAATTGATACAGATCACGATGGTTGATTATTACTCCAATAACCTGGCACACATTCGTAACAATGATGTCAAGCAGTGTTGGAAATCTTATGTTCTCATGTTCTCATGAGAACATCCTTTTAGATTTGAGAACATTTGACATTCTATATATGTTCTCTATGAAAAAAAATTTGAGAACATGATTCTGAAAAACCATGTTCTCTAAGTAATAGCAAAATTCCAGATGGAAATATAAATTCCGAATTTACCCGAAAGGAAAATGAATGAACATAAAATACGAGAAGGGTTGTGATAAAAATTTGATCAAATTTCCGAAAATAGGGATATGAATAATTTTAGCTATTAAATTTTTGAGAACATAAATAAAATTTTGAGAACACTAAATCAAATAAATATGTTCTCATGAGAACATAAATCTCAAAACAGATTTCCAACACTGATGTCAAGTCCAATGGTCTAACTGTTGTTTCCACAGCACCGCATAATATTCTCATACCAATATGAATGGAATGATAGATACCTGACTAAATCTAATTTTTAACCTTGCGAACGTTACTTGTTTTTTTTCGTTTGTTCTTAAGATATTCAGTAACACAAAGAATACGGATAATTATACCGTCATTAATTGATAATCTTAAGAAACTAATTACAGTATAACTAACTAAACAGCTAATGAGATCGACGTCCTATAAAATACACGGTCGAGTTTCTTTAATATGAAATATATATATCATATACCTATGACCTTATGAGTTTTAAGCTTGGCACTTTTTGAACCTCTTTGGCATTATTGCCGTGGAATGCCATATGGTGTACAAGCTTGACACATTATCTTACATGATTATTATTATTTTATTTATTTATTTTTACCATGAATTTAAGTAGACTGAATATTTGTAAAAATGCTTTGTAAACCTAATTTCATTGTAGCAAGTTTACTTCGGGTTTACTAATATTCACCACCAGTTCCCATTGGACGACTACTGATCTTGTCTTTCATTGATCGGAGTTGATACATTCTTTATGCATCGCAAGTGTCGCCTTTGAATAATTACGTATTTTATTAAAAAAAATTTTTTTAAATAATTCTTTCTGCCTTTTGATACTAACGTTTAGCAATTTTTTGAATTTGGCAGCTCTTAATCTTGCACTATCGATTAAATACATATACTATTTTTTTACCGATCTATTGAATTTAGCAGCTCTTAAATCTCGCATGATTGATTAATATATATATATTTCCAATTCTATTGAATTTGGCAGCTTTAACGATTCTATTGTACCGTAAATTTGCTATTGAAATAATAATAAACCAAATTTAAGTTCATTTTGCTATTTTATTTTCATTTAATATGTCAATTTCACCTGAAAATATTTTTGATATTGAAGAAGACGTTGATATGGATATCAGCGATAGTGAAATCGACAACACGCTTGAATTAATCCTAGATGCATCAGATAGAGTTGGTCAAGCGTGGGAGGCAGTGGAAGATGATCCAGAAGAGACGCCTGAGGCAGAAAAGGTTAAAACATATAATTTACCAGTAAACGAATATGAAGAATGGATTAAAAATCTTGAAAAGGCAGGTCTAAGTTATATTCGACATGATCATAGGACTAAATTAGGTGCAAAAAGAAAGAATATGTGGACTGAAAGATGGAATTGCCATCGTTACAGGGTATATGAGAGCACTGCTGAAAAAAATCTTAATAAAAAGCCATGTTTGGCACAGAAAGAAACAAAGAAATGTGAGTGCAAGAGTTATATTTTTGTTACACGCCCTGTTAATTCATCAATGGTTACTTTAAAATATTACTATAAACATCGTAACCATCATCCCAGCCAACTTTCAGACCTATGCAAACTTACTCTTTCAGAAAATATTTGCCACTTTGTTCAGCAGCGAGCTTGATGTTTTTAGTATTAATAAACTTATGCAGTTTCGGGCTATTGAATTGCAAAATCAGGTTTTATATTTTATCTTTATTAATTTATTGATTTTTTTTATATATTTAATTTATATTTGGGGAGTTTTTTTTAAATTAATTTTTTCTTATTCGAATTTTTTTTGTGTTCTGTTTTTTAAAATTAATTTTTTTTACGGATTTGAATTTTTTTTTGTGTTATATTTAAGTTAATGTGACAAATGAATTTCGTGAATCCTACTATTGTTTTACAAAAGCAATATGCAAGATATACAAAATTCATCTGTCACGCTAACTTGAAATAGTATAGATAGTTTTTTTTATATATGTACGTATATATATAAATAATTGTAAGTAATACATTTTATTGTTATTATTTATTTTTTTAGATTAATTCAGACGATTGTTTGCATGATATACAATCACTGCATGATGGGTTAATAACACGTGATGATATCTATACAATCGTTTATAACACAATGAAGACATCCGCCTATTTCAATAAAGATAAGACTTGTTCTTTAGAAATGTGGAAAAATAAAATAATTAGTAAGGGTGGGATTTGTATATTAAAAAAATATGATAAGGTAGATAATATCAGATTCATATTTATGTTTCAAACTAAAGAGCAAAGAGAATTAATAGAACATACTAGAGTAGTGTGTTTAGATGGAACACATGGGATGAACTATCATGGATACCATTTATTTACACTTATTATATACCATCCAGTCACTTTTTTAATAAGTGAATTTAGACGAATATTAATACTAAAAGAATGGTTCAATTTTTTAAAGCATAATAATGAAAAATGGCACCCAGATATTTTTATAGTTGATGATGCAGAGGAAGAAATAAAGACCTGCTGAGAAAGTTTTCTGGATAGCTCTGTGGTTTTGTGTCACTTTCATGTTATGCGGTCTTGGAGTCAGAAACTATGTCGCAAATGTGGCACAAATAATTATCTATTAAAAGAAATTATCTGGGAGGATCTCTGGAGACTGCTAAAGACAAAAAGTTGGAGTGATACAGAAGCCCAAGCACAAGTTATAGGAGCAATTAATTGATGGAAAGGAATGAGTATTGAGGCAATAACTAATTTTGCCAATTACTTCGAATGCTGGTGGCAGCCAAAGTATGATATGTGGATGATTTGTGTAAAAGGAGTTTCTCGAGACATGATGGATACCAACAATTTGATTGAATCATTCCATCATAAATTAAAGTATTCTTATTTAAGAGGACGGCCAGGTAAAATTGAAATTGAATTTTTAGTTAACTAAATAGTCAACTAAATTTTTTAAACTTGTAGAGCCTGATGATTTTTTGTGGTGATGTTTATTTATTTTTAAAAATGAATAAACATTATCACAGAAAACCTTTGGTTCAAGTATGCTTGTTAACTAAAATAATTTTATTTTTATTACAGGCAGACGACTAGATGGTGAAGTGCACCTTCTTGTGGAGGTTGTACTTCGTGATATAAATTTTTCGGTTTTCCTTAGTAATTTAAAAATCGGTCGAATGAACCCAAGACTGCGCCAGCAACGTATTAGAGAAATTGCAGGGTCTATGCACAGTAATTATATTTTTAATATCCAACTAAATATGTGGATAATACAGTCCTTAACAAATGAGGATATAAAGTACTCTATTAGAAAGAAGGACCTTACAGATGATAATAATAGCTTTGATACTGTCTCTTA